GGGATTACATCCTAACTGCAACACCTGATTTGCATTGTGTGCTTTATTGCGAATTCCAGTACTAACTTTCAAGACGATATATGAGTTGATACATTACTGACAAAAGTACTTACTTGGATTGCAGAGTTAATCTTACTGAAATACTGGATATTATATCTGAAACTAACAAGTCACTCGTTTTAATCGAGTCTCAATCAGTTCAGAGACAAATGAATGGTGAAACAGTAAATAACAATAGCGGCAACCTCATATATGAGGTTCTTAAGAACGCGTTATATCAATAAAGGTACGCTTTCTCTTAATTATTGATGGAGCTGTGTCAAGTACTTTTAGAGAATACTGGTTTTAAAAATAGGTCCCTTCAATTATGACAAACAAGATGATTTGTTTATACATAAAATTTGATCCTACACATTTGAAAAACAAACGAATGGCCTGATCCAGTCATTCAGAAAGAACTGATAATCACAGTGAGAAATAAATAAACTGATCGAATCTACTCCAAGAACTAGGAATGTCTTTTCATTTATTTGTTTTTAAGTGAACCAAGTAGTGGAAAAATAAACAAGCCATCTTTAATATTATTACAAACATATACAGGAACCAAGTTGAAATGAACTAAACATGAAAGAGGAAGTGAACATACAAAAGAACAGGTCAATAAAAACATCATGGCAACCTTCCAAAAAATAGAGGAAGGAGGGTTAGAGATCGGAAACAAGTTATACAGTCAGTTCGTTACCATAACGAGCAAGAATATGCAAATAAATTCTGTGGTCTATTTTTTCTGAAAGAATAGGAATGTAAAAAATTCTTAGAAATTGGCGAAGGAAGGTTAAACTCTGACCAAGCAAATTATCGTCAGGATTGTAATTATTAGGCTCGATAGTAGTTCGGTTAACAAGAGAAAACCAAGTCTTTTGGTCCGCTACATACCATTTTTCACGTACACCAGGAGGAGAATCCCGATCCAAAATATAAGTACATTCGTTAGACTCGTTCGTGATAAATCTATCAATCTCTTCTAAATTTTCGGAGTTGAAATGACTCCCGTCAATCCTTGTAGAGCTTGACACTACACCATTTGATAAAGGTTTTGCGAACTGACCTGGCAACTGACCAGAAAATGCTGATTGGACAAATCCAATGCGCCAATTTTCAGCGCCTCCCGGGAGAAGGAACCTACTTGGGAAATAATGCCATTCACGCCCTATACATAACAAAGGTTTGTTAGACTGAAATGACGGAACGGGAAGGTGTTTGACCAGAAAGATTGGAGAACTATACCAACGTATAAGGGTGAATATGCGAGAGACAGTCAGTAAAAATGTAATTGAACATGAAAGAAGCACAATGAACAAAGCTATGTGTCTAATGTATGTAGGCTTAGTATTGGAATTAAAAGTTTCGATAAGCCATAACATGAAAACTGCCGACGCAACTGAAATAAAAGGGTAGCATGGGAACAGGAATCTTTCTTCCTTATGAGACTGAAGAAAAAATATGCCATTCCAAATTACCAAAGAACTGCATACAATCAAGTGAATATCAGGTAATGATTTTTTCGTATCAGAATGCCCACTTACAGAGACAATTTTTGTTTGAAACAAAGGACGTAAGATGTATTTTACCGCAGAGATTAGTAGTAATAGCAGGGCGAAAATACCCAGCAAGTTTTGATTTAAAATGTAATTTTTAATGTAGAATGATATGGGCTCCGTCCCATACAATTGCGAAGCACTTCCAGACTGTTGTTTGATTTGGGGGAATAAATTGTACCGGATTATATTAAAAGGTGCTATGGTGAGACGACCAAAGTAAAAAGAATCAACAAGGACGAGAGGGGGGACAAGAAGGAACGTCCACAAGGTTACCAACTTAACCAAACGATACATTTTCCCGCTAAACATCATATATACTGCCAAAGGAATACCAAGGACGGCGGCAAAGGGCCAAACAATAAGACCCGTAAAAGCAACGCATCCAACAGCCAAGAAGTAACAACGCTTTAACCAAAATACCAACATCAGAGCGGTTAAAGAAGCGGATGGTCCGCTAGGGAGAAACGTTGTTGAAGATAAGAAGTTTCCTGGGGATATACAACAACAAAATGATAGCAGAAAAGAGAATAATACCTTTCTTTTGGTTAGATCTAGCTCGTCAATTTGCTTTTGATTATTCGAATAGATGTAAGTAGCTACCGTGGAAGAAAGTAAACTAGCAGAAGCCGCAGAAACTAGTCCTAGAAAAAAACGAACTAACAAAAATGCAAGCCAATTTGGAAACCCCATAAAGAATGATAAATAAGAAGGCCAACCGAAGAACCATAGGTACAAATAAGATCTAAGGCCAAAAGAAGGTGAATATTCCCATGTCTGGAAGCCACCACCTTCACCGTTTGTTGAAATGAAATGTAAAGGCTCCCAATAGTTATATGTTTCATCGCAATCATTGATGATATTGAAGAGAACGCTAAAAGAGTTAACGGCAAGAGCGATCTTGAATGGTAGAAACAGGTGCTTCATTGTCTGCTAAGAACAGGGAAATAGCAATTAAAGACTTGATTAACTTAGCACAAAGAAAGTATACCAAAAAACACTAGAGAACATCATTTAGCAAACAATTCTAAAAAAACGCATGAATTTAAATGTTTTTTTGCACTAAGAATAGTTTTGATTACCTGTAATTCTTAAAACATACATCACTATTGATATTTTTGAGAAACTCGTGTAAGATAATAAGGAATAGAGTTCTGGTCATGTACTAATATAAGAAACAACAAGTTAGTTAAACAACCAAGGTGACAAATAAAACCCGATATCTAAGTAGTCATGTCACTTGATATGTAAGCCCATCGCCACCGAAATACACTAATGGATTCACCTGCAATCGGTCTAGAAAACGAAGTATTATGTTGTAACATACACCTATCTAATACCTAATCACGGTATCTAATTGCACAAACCTCACTCAAAAGTGGGAATTAAAAAGTCGAACTCTAAACACTCGTCCATAGCTTTAAAACATAGAACGAAAATAAAGAGATTTGATTGCTTGATGATTAACTGGTGAATTCAATCAACCGTAAGATACAAAATAAAAAGCCTTTGTCTTCAACACAATTCAAATTAATAGTAACTGACATTCAGTCAGTCAGCTACAACGTAAGACCAGGCACATATATGAATCGGTCCAAGTTGCCATACCTCATTAGCACAGCAAGATGAACACCTGATTCATAGGAGTGGTTAAGTCAATGGCGGTAATATATAAAAGAAAGATTGCAATAAGGATATAGTAAAGGAAGAAAGAAATAATTCGTAGAAAGAAACATATGAAGCAATTTTAATCTCTTAGTTTAAGGGAAGACAGGGAGTTTATACACCTACGCCATTGTGGTCGGTTCTAAGTCATGTCACCAAGAGTATTCAACCACTGGTCACGATAGTCACGCGGACCCCAACCAAGTAGTCTGCATCTACCAACATGGCTCAGACTAGGAGTTAGTGTCTTCAAGCACTGATGCCGTTTTGGTTTGGCCAATCCTAACTTTCTTCCAATCATCCCCAACACCGGTTAGCATTGCACGTCGTAATAATCGGTGTTCAAACATGCGTAACACGTGGCCCAAACATCTCAGTCGATGAAGAATTACAAACACCAACTGATTTACCAATCATTACCTAACCTCATTATTACTTATCTGACGATCACAAAAGATGCGGGCAATATTTCAAAGGCATCTGTGGTCAAATACTAGAAGCTTGCGAGTATCTTCTACTCTTAATAGCCACGTTTCGCAGCCGTAAAGTAGAACAGAACAAACTGCCGCGCAGTATACTAGTCCTTTTATTGATAGACGGATATCTCGCCTTCGCCATAGGTGACGTAAGTTGGCAAAAGCCAAACGAGCTTTTCGAATCCGTGCTGAGATTTCGCCAGACACCAACCCACTACGGCTGATCAGACTTCCAAGATAAGTGAAGTTGTTGACACCTCCGACTGCTTCGCTCTCTATCCTTAGTTCAGGTGTTGACGCAGGCAAGTTCTGAAGCAACAACGTGCATTTAGAGGGGGAGAAGCGCATCCCAAACATCCTGGCATTGTTGCTCGGTGCTACCAAAACACTGCATTTTATCAGCGTCTTCACCAAACAGGACTATGTCATCTGCATATTCTAAGTCGATAAGTGGACCTCCTGGAAGAAGACCAATTCCTGAAAATTCAGATGACGAGAACGTTATTCCCAGCGGTAGACCTACGATGAAATTGAACAGGAATGGAGATAGTGAACAGCTTGCCAGACACCACTTGAAGTTGCAAAATCGCATGACAGTTTGCCATAAGCTCTGACTCGACTAGTAGTGTTCGAGTAAAGAGCCCTCACAAGATTTATGAACTTCTGAAGTACACCTTTCAATGACAGACACTGTCATAGAACCTCTCGGTCTACAGAGTCAAATGCTGCTTTTAAGTCAAGAAAGACCATCATTGCCGGACGCCGATAAGTATGCCTGTGTTCTAGAACCTGACGAATGGTGAATATGTGGTCGATGCCGCCACGACCAGGTCTGAAGCCAGCTTGATTTTCTCGTGTTTGCAGTTCACGAGTCTTAGTTAGGCGTCCGATAATTATCGAGGCTAGTATTTTAGATGCTATATTAGTCAAACTAATCCCTCTATGGTTGTCACAGGATGATCTTGATCCATTCTTATATATTGAGACAATCAGTGATTGTGACCAATCAGGTGGGATTACGTCCAACTCTCATATTTTAGCTAAAATACTAATCAACCTAATTGCTAAATTTGGACCACCATCCTTAAACACCTCTGGAACTAATCCATCTGGACCAGCTGCTTTTCCGCGTTTCATATTAACTATAGCTTGCATTACTCACCACTGCTCACGGTCATTCATTAGACTTTTGGTTAACCTAGAGCTGATTTGTTTTCGCTCTTCATTGTGTTCAGAGCCTGTGATGAGTTTAGGAGGCACCAAATACATATGCGCCACACAGCTCTCATTCGATATGTGTGAGGGCTGTGATACTGCCCGGGTGCCCAAACCGAAGCAGGTGAATTTCTTAGGAT